GGCTTGGGGAGGTTTGCGGGGCTCCCGTCTGCATCCTGGGGACCCTTCCTGCAAATCCCCTTGCAGGCGGCTCCGTGGTGCAGGGGGGACTGTCCTGGAGCGGCTCCAGAGCCGGCTCCAGAGCCGGATCCCGCAGCCGGCAGCGGGAGCCGGTGCCCTGTATTGCTGCCGTATATCAGCGGCTGCCGTCCTGGCCGGCTTGCTGCAAGAAGGAGTGAAASCAGCTCTTTACAGGCTGCGCTTTCCAGCGGGTTTCGAGCCACACGGTGTCCCAGATCTCCTGCCAACAGCAGGGAGCCAACTGATAATGCAGCTGCTATTAATAAAGAGCACGCCGTTACATATTCATATCAGTCAAACTTCAAATTCCCCAATATTAAAAAAAAAAAAAAACAAAAGAGAAAAGGAGAGCAAAGCCAAGCCAGGGTTTCTCGGGGCTGCTGGATGGAGCTGCTCGACAGGATGGTGCTGAGGTCGCATCGGCGGTGCTGGCAGAGCCGGCTCCGCTGCTGCTTCCCTGGGTTGGGATTGTGCCCTGGGAGTGACAGCTCTGGCCACCAAGGGCCACTGCAAGGTCCCCCGGCACCGAAACCTGCGAGCCCAGCTGGCTGCCTTGGTGCTCGTCACCATTTGCATAGGAGGTGACACCTATTGCATGGGTTAAAAAGCAAAGCGTAGAGAAATCTGAGGGTATAAATCCAGGATATAAATAAATTTGCGCTGCTGTTAGGAAAGGAGAGTACCAAAGGAGCCTGGCCAAGGGATAAATAGACCCTTGCTGCCATTCCTGCAGTAAAATATGCTTTTTGTCAGTGCTACAGTTTAAAAAAAAAAATACTCCCTCCAAATTTGTAGCGGCGCTTTATGGTAAGCCGTAAATTGGGAGCGTCGCCTTAGTACTCACGGAGCGCTACGGGGCTGGTGGTGAGCGGCTGCGCCGGGAAGGGCGCCCGGAGCACCCCGCGTGGGACACAACCCGCCCGCCGCTTCCGAGGGCGGAATGGGGTTCCTGGAGCACCAGGAATGGGCCGCTGCAGCACCAAGGGCRATGCTCACAGAGCTGGTGTTGGGTGCCATGGGTGCTGCTAGGGGTGGGTAGCCAAAAATCCCAGAGCGGCTCTGGAGGGCTCTCCTGCTGTCTGGAATAGCTCGTGTAGAGCCCAGGGCTCTGCTCTGCAGAGAAGTGGTTCARCACCCGCACAGCCAGTTCCTGCAGGAGCCTCTCCGGAGGTGTCTCCGGCCTCCCGGTCCCCTACAACACGCGGGAGCCTCCCCTAGCCTAGAAATGCATCTGCTGGCCCAGGAGAGCCCCTTAGCCACGGTCTGGCAGTGCCACCTCTGCCAGGTGGGCGCATCCCTGAGCGGGAAGAGTTTGGGAGTGACTAGGGATGATCTGCTCCTGCAGTGCCCATCATGTTGATGGTCTCAACCATCATCCTTCTTGATGGGCTCCCATCCTTCTTGATGGGCTCCATCCTTCTTGACGGGCTCCCATCCTTCTTGGTGGGCTCCATCCTTCTTGAYGGGCTCCCATCCTTCTTGWTGGGCTCCATCCTTCTTGATGGGCTCCCATTCTTCCTGGTGGGCTCCATCCTTCTGGCTGACCTTCGGGCTGCTACTGCTCTGCTGCCTAGGGCTAGTAGGAAGCCAATACTTGGCCACAGCTTCAGCCATCGCGGTCCATCTCAGGGCTGGATTTGAACCCCACAGCCTGTTCAGGTTTGGGGTACGTGAGGGTGGATCCCTATGGATCTGAATGGACAGATGCACATCGAGTTGGATGCTCAACAACTGGCTACGTTGTCTGCATTGCTGTAGCTGCCAGGGGGCTTCATTCTGCCCCRCCGGGCATTTCACGGCTTCTCCCCACATCTGCTGGGGGGTTCATCCATCCCGGTGTCCTCCAGGCCAGATCCTTCCTGCACGCGAGCAATCCCTGCCAAGCCTGCGCTTTTCCAGGACGGATTCGCAGCTCCGTCCTCGCGCCGTTAGCAGAATCCATAAGCGCCGTCGCCCCGTGACAGGAGCTGTTTGGCAGCCAGGAGGTATTAAGGACCAACTGGCACGTCTGGTGCGAGCCGTCCGTTCTTCTCCCRTTGTTGTTCTGATTACCTTTTTTATAGGCTAACAGAAGGCTTTGAATCCGGACAGCCAAGGAAAAAAAATATATCTGTAATAATAAGGGAGAAGCTTTTCCCAGCTCTTCCCTGCCCCAGCACCACTCCCCAGCCATGGAGGACCAGGAGCAGATGCCTCCTTGGGTTCCATCTCCTACGGGAGTCGTGTGGGTGCTCTTGGAGAGGCCGCCGGTGCCGGTGTGGGGACGGGCTGAGGTGACGCGTTGTAGGTGACACCGGGTGACACTTGGGTGGGTCCTGCTGTAACCGGTACCGGGCACGGGTGGGCAAGGCTCTTCCCGCTCCAAAGCAGGAGCGCGGGCACCGTGGGAYCCCGTGTCCGCGTGAGCTATTGCGGGGATGGGCGCGGGCACGTGCACGTCGGGAAAGCCAAGCCGTTGTTGGCATGCGGAGCACGGAGCGGGCGGGAGGGCCAGCAGGCGCTTCCGCGGCTGCCGGCTCCGAGCCGGAGCGAGCGGCGCCGGCGGGATCTGCGCATCCCGCGTGGCAGGAGCGGGGACGCGGGGCAGAGCCGCAGCGGGACTCGTTGCCCTGTGCGGGTGAGCCGGGAAGGGGGATGTGRGGAGGAAGAGGAGGAGGAGGAAGAGGAGGGGCGCAGGGGGCCCTCGTGGCCCCCTCCTGCCCGCTGGGGCATTTCCATCCCTCAGCCGCTCTTCACTCAGGTTATTTGAGCTTCGATTCAGCTCAGCAATTGCCTTGGCTGCAACTCTGTCTCTATTGTTTTCAGTCTGCAGGAGCATCATTGAACGCGTCAAAAAGATAAATTGGCGCAAGGGAGGGGGAAAAGAGGAGAAAAGAGACAAGAGAAAAAGGGAAAGCGGATGGCGAGCAGGGCGGATGGTGAGAGCGGGGCGCTCTGCGGCCTCCYGGCTGCTCCAGCCGCACGGAGGCCGAGCCGTCCCGGGGCTGGAGCGCCCGGGATGCCATTCCCGGTGCCGGGCATGAGGCGGCTGAGGGYTCGGGGCGGCTGCTGCGTTTTGCAAGGGAGCAAGCAGCGCACGGGGAGCTCGCCGAGCTCACACCGCAGCGGTGGTGGCACCGGGGCCGCCCCTCGCGGTGGCCGAGCCGCGCGGACACGCTGCCACAAAGCCAAGTTAATGCSACGTGAAGGTCGCGCGGGTTAAAATCCACGGCGCCGGGAGCRCCGGAGCCGAGTGCTTCAGTGAGCGCCGTTCAGCGAGCGGCGCGGCGCGGCCCGGCTCTCCCGTGGAACGGCTCTTGCTCTGAGCACACATTACGCAGCCGAAATACCAAGGGAGGCGAAAGCGCTCCCTATTTTATTTTACTGCTGCTTATCTCGCATTAATCCTCTTACGGGGATGCTCCATTTCAGCCAAGGGTTGCCTCTCCGTTTGCTGCATCCCCTTCTGCATCCTAACGGTACGACCCGACGTGGGGCTGTGCGCGGGCTGCGCTCCTGCCCCTGCCTGCACGGAGGGCTCCAGGCCCCACTGCTGGGTTATTCCCACTGGATTATTCCGATGTGTTTTAGCATTTAGCAATTTTTAGCGTTTTGGATGTTTGTCTTTGCCCGCACTGGGAGGAGAGGTGGCGCCCGGCCCCGCGGCGCCGTCTGTGCTGGGGGCACCCGCGCTGCCACCGAGGGTCCCACCGCCACCCACCGCAGCCCTCTGCTATCGGGGAGCAACCTGCTCCCCCTGCCCCTTGCTCTGGCCCAGAGCCAGCCCTGGCATCCTGGTGTCTCTAATACAACCTTGCATGGGGACCCTTGAACCGCACCGGTGTCTCCTCCTCCCTGAGTGGCCCCATCTGTAGCCAGGCCAGCGGCCGGTTCCCRTTTTGCCTCCCGATCTCACGGTTCAGCTATTCCAGCAGTTTGGAGATGCCCTTGTATCTTTGCTGCTGAGATGATCAGCTAAAGAGCCATTTGCACTGCCATCAGTAGGTTTCAGAGTGAACCATGGCCTCRTGGGGGGCAGCCTGAGCTGTTCCAAGCGCTGTCAGGAGCCATGGGAAGGGCAGGCTTTATTTTAACTGCAGCATCCAAGGCTTTCCAGAAGAGCAGCTTACGGAGCAGGGGAAGGATTTTTACTGCCAGTATCCAGCGCTTTATTCCCGCTTCCTTTTCCCGGCGGCCRGCAGCCCGGCCTGGGCATGGGCGAGGGGCACTGGGTGCCCTCGGGGCTTTGCACGGCGCTTCCCCTTGTGCTCGCGGGCTCCACGGCCGGGCGAGCAGCAGCTCGCGGTGCCCACGGCAGCACGGGCAGCGCCCGCGCCGAGCGCTCCTGTGGGAAAGGGGCTGAGTTGGGGGATTTGCTCTTGTTGTTGTGGCACCGAAAGGAGGAGGGGGGTGGAGAGGCAAGGAGGTCGTGTTGGGTGCATGTTGGTGGGTGCACGTTGTGGTGGGTGCGCGTTGGTGGGTGCAATCTTGGTGGGTGCACATCGGGTTAGGTGCACATTGCGGGTGAGAGCAGGGTGCACATTGTGGTGGGTGCACATCATGGTGGGTGCAGATCAGGTTGGGTGCACGTTGTGCTGGGTGTACATCAGGCCAGGGGCACATCAAGTTGGGTGCGCATCAAGTTGGGTGCACATTGGGTTGGGGGAACACTGGGTTGGTGAACATTGCAGTGGATGCACATCAGAGTAGGGTGGTGGGTGCACGTCATGGTGGGTGCACAGTGCAATGGGTGCACATCGGGTTGGGTGCACATTGTGGTGGGTGCACGTCGTGGCGGATGCACATTGCAACAGATGCACATTGGGTTGGGTGCTCCTTGCGGTGGCTGCACTGGRATGCTGGGAACAGGGATCCGGGATCGGCCGGGGGTGCTGCATCGCTCCGGGYGAAGGGGGAGCCCCCCTGCCACCCCTCACCCGCTGCCCCACAGCCGGGCCAGCCATGCGATGCCGGAGGAGTGCGGCGATGCTATGGAATGTGGGCAGCCGCCTGCGGACACGCTCCGGCAGGTGACCATCCAGCGCCACCCGCTCCACGGATTCGGCTTCGTGGCCGGCAGCGAGAGGCCCGTGGTGGTGCGCTCGGTGACGGCAGGTACGGCGCGGTTGGCACGGGCGGGCGCGCGGCGCCGCCGGCCCCGCTCTCAGCCCCGCGCCCCGGCTCCCAGGCGGCCCCTCCGAGGAGAAGCTCCTGCCCGGAGACCAGATCGTGGCCATCAACGCCGAGGACGTGAGCGAGGCCCCCCGCGAGCGCTTCATCGAGCTCGTCAGGTGAGGCCGCCGCAGCCTCCAGGCTTGCACAGCGCCCGGGCAGGGCTTGCACGGACCTTAGCGAGGAGCCAAGCCAGCCTCGCTGGAGAGGCCGGTGCCCAGCGTCCTCCCAATGCCACCGCCAGCTCCGGAGCTGCTGGGTGCTGCTTGGGAAGGACCTGGGGACCCGTGAGCTGTCCCCATGCTGAGCGCATCCTTCCCTCGCTTCTCCTTCCCGCCGTAGGAACGCCAAGGACTTTGTGGTCCTCACCGTCCTGCACGCGCACCAGGTGAGCGCCGCGCCGGGGCTGCCCGCGGGGGCCGCGGTCCCGTCCCGCCGTTCACCCGGCCGCTCTCTTTCCAGTCGCCCAAATCCGCTTTCATCAGCGCAGCCAAGAAGGCCAGGCTGCGCTCCAACCCGCCCAAGGTCCGCTTTTCCGAGCAGGTGACGGTCGGCGAGACGGACCCAGTGAGTGCCGCCCTCGCCGCTTCGGGAACGCGCTCCCGCAGCAGCGCTCCGGCCTGCTGGCGTTCTCCTCCCTAATTGCAGGGAGCTTTTATTAAGCAGCTTCTCGTATGAAAGCAAAAAAAAAAAAAAAAAGAAAAAAGGAGGAAAAAAGCTTTAAAGTGCTTCTAGCAAATTCTATTTTTAAGCAAAATCAATTAAGTAATTATGTGGTTCTAGCGTTGCTCGCTGTAAAACACCAGCCTGCGCTCAGCTCCGCGCAGGGAGGTGGGAGGCTGGAGTGAGCCCGAGCCAGGCTGGGGCTCGGAGAGGGGATGCAGGGAGTCCATTGGGAAGCAACTGATGGAGCCGGACACCCAATTCCCACCGCTGGGAGCTGGGGAGGTGACTCCATGCGGYGGCTCCGACTTGGCGGGTGATCCCGGGAAGCCGGCGCTGCTCCATTGCTGACATCCCCCTCCATCCCCGCCTGCCAGGACATGCTGAAGAAGGACGCGCTCCTCCTCATCCCCAACGTGCTCAAGGTTTTCCTGGAGAACGGGCAGATCAAGTCCTTCACGTTCGACGGCCGAACCACGGTGAAGGTGGGTCCTGCTCTGCGGTCGCCCGAGCCGCTGTCCCCTGTCACCGCCTCCGTCAGCCCCTGCCCGCCTGGAGCCAGGGTGCCCCGAACCCCGCTCTGGCATTTGCAGGACGTGATGGTGACGCTGCAGGACCGCCTCTCCCTGAGGCACATCGAGCACTTTGCCCTGGTGCTGGAGTATTCCAGCCCGGAGCAGAGCCACCGGTTCCTGCTTCTCCAGGACAAGCAGCCCCTGGCCCACGTAAGGCCCTAGGGAGGGGGTTGTGCGAAGGATGGGGGGGCTGAGGCCGAAAAGGGAGGCAGGGGGGGCTCCCCTSGCCGCTGGGCTTCTGCAGCAGGACTTTTCCGTGTGGAAAACTGCAGCCCGCGCCCGCACGCAGGTCGTGCAGAGGACGCACTACCAGGGCATGCGGTGCCTCTTCCGCGTCAGCTTCTTCCCCAAGGACCCGGTGGAGCTGCTGCGCCGGGACCCGGCCGCCTTCGAGTACCTCTACATCCAGGTAGGGCCGGCACGCCGCATCCCCCTTCCCGCTCCTCCTAGTGCTCCCCAGCGTCTTCCAAAGCCTTGCGGGTCTCCAGCACGGAGGCAGTGGTGGCATCCTTGGTGGCCGTGCCATGCTGCTTCCCACCGGGAGCGCGGATGGGACCTGGGTGCCGAGCTGGCCCCCGAGCACCGTCCCGTCACCCCGCAGAGCCGCAACGACGTGATCCGCGAGCGCTTCGGCACGGAGCCCAAGCCGGAGCTGCTGCTGGGGCTGGCCGCCCTGCACATCTACATCACGGTCTCGGCCACCCGGCCCAGCCAGAAGGTCTCCCTGAAGAACGTGGAGTGAGTCCTGCCCCTTGCCCGCTCCGTGTCCCCTGCCCAGGCCTCCTCCTGCCTCGGGCTGCCCGYGGGTGCTGAGCCCCGTGCTGGGGCCACCCGGTGGCTTTGCAGACGGTGGCAGTGCCACCCGCTCCTTGGGTGCACGTGCTCCCGCATGGGGCCATGCGCGGGGCCGTGCGAGCCCCGTGGCCGCCAGCTCGGCCACCCCACGGGGCTGTGGGGAGGGCAGCGCGGGGTCCCAGCGCCGTCTCGTCGCCATCCCTTGCGCCCGCAGGAAGGAGTGGGGCCTGGAGCCCTTCCTGCCGCCCTCGCTGCTGCAGCTGGCCAAGGAGAAGACGCTGCGCAAGGCGCTCTCGCAGCAGCTCAAGGCGCAGCAGAGCCAGCCGCCCGGCGGCACCAAGGTGAGCGCCGTGCCGTGCTGCTCCGTGCCATGCCGTGCCATGCCGTGCCGTGCCGCGCCGTGCCGCACGCTGCCGGCCCACGGGCGCCCGTCTGCGCAGGTGTCGGCGGCGCAGGCCAAGCTGCGGTACCTGCGGATGCTCAACGAGCTGCCCACCTTCGCCGGGGTGCTCTTCAACACCGTGGGGCTGGTACGGCCGCCGGGGGCTGGCGCGGGGGGACCGGGGTGTCTGTGGAGGGGACCCCGCTGCGTGCCACGTCCCGCAGGCTCCTGCTCGGCCCGGCAGCATCCTGCCCAGATGAGGGGGATCCTGGGCACCAGCTTCCCCACTGGGTCCGTACAAGAGCAGATCAGTTGTCCCCAACATCTCCCCTAGCAGGGSCCCAGCCTAGGGTTTGGTGGCCCTGTGGACACTGCCACCGGCATGGCCCACTCCTCCCTCATCCCCATCAGAGGCACCAAACAGGGATGCGGAGTTGCTGCCAAGGCTCCCACTGCCCACGCCGCTGTCCGTCCGCATCCTCCTCGCTCCGCCTTCACCCAGGCAGCTCCATGCTGGAAGTGCCACCTCCCTGCAGCCCGGGACCGCAGCCTCCGCAGCCCCCCGTGCCGGGATCCTCACAGCCGGGATCCTCCTGGCCGAGTGCTTTGCTTCCCCGAGCCTGGGCACACAGAGGGGCTCGGGGAGGCTCTGCATGTGATTCCCAAGTGCATTCCCATCGGGAGCGCAGCTCGGTCACGGCTCTGCCTCACGTCCCCGCGCGCAGGACGAGAAGCAGCCGGCCACCACGCTGCTCGTGGGTCCCCGCCACGGCATCAGCCACGTCATCGACCTCAAGACCAACCTCACCACGGTGCTCTCGGAGTTCAGCAAGGTGAGCAAGATCCAGCTCTTCCGCGAGAACCAGGGGGTGGCCCGCGTGGAGACCAGCATCCTGGAGGCCAAGGTAGGCGCGGGGCGGCSGCGCCTCTCCCTCCTCTCCCRMCGTTGCTGTGGATGGGACGGTTTTCCATGGATTTGGCTTGAGCAAACGCGCGGGTGGCACATGGGGCCATGMAGTGCAGACCCAGCAGCCAGCCTGGCTCCCGGATCACTCCTCCTCGGGGGAGCCGAGCTCCTTTGGGGCTCCCTGCTCATCCCCGCTCCTCTCCCGRGGTCCCGCAGCCTCTTCCCAGCTGGCACCATTGCAGCCTCCGGCACCGCARCTCCCCTTTGGCCTCTCCGGTTGCCTCCCGTCCGGGTGGGTTTTCGCTCATGAATCCCTCCCTGCCCTCCCTAATCCACGATCCACTGTCTCGCTTCCCAGCTACCGCTGTCCCGTGTGCCAGGCAGGATKTCAGTGCCATCTCCGCGTGCCGGGCAGGATATGGGCGCCGGGTCAGCGTGCCGGGCGGGATATCAGCAGTGTCCCTGCGTTCCAGGAGGGATATTGGCAGTGTCCTCGTGTTCCGGGCAGGATATCGGCACCAGCTCCGCATGCCGGGCGGGATATCAGTGCTGTGCCTGTATTCCGGGCAGGATGTCAGTGCCGTTCCCGCATTCCGGGTGGTATATCAGTGGTATCCCCGCGTTCCGGACGGGATGTCAGTGCCATTCCCGCACTCCGGGTGGGATATCAGCAGTGTCCCCACGTTATGGGTGGGATATTGGCGCCATCCCCATGTGCCAGGTGGGATATCGGCAGTATCCCCGCGTTCCGAGTGGAATATCGGCGCCGTCTCTGCATGCTGGGCAGGATATCAGCAGTATCCCCGCGTTCCAGGCGGGATATCAGCGCCGTCCCCACATTCCGGGCGGGATGTCGGCGCCGTTCCCGCGTTCCGGGCGGGATGCCGGCGCCGTTCCCGCGCGCGCTCCGGGCGCCGCGGCTGCGTGCGCTGCCGCGCCGGGTTTCCCGTGGCAACGGCAGCTGTTGYGCGGCGTTGCGGCTCCGTGCGGAAAGGGCCATTTTGAACTGGCGAGCGCCGCGCGCGCCGCCGCCGGGATGCGCTGCCCGGCGCGGAGCCGGGCACGGAGCCCGGCACAGCGCCCGGCGCGGCGCCCGCTGATGCCTGCAGGTACCGGCCGGGCGCACGGGAGCGCGGGGCCCGCGTGGCGGGATGGGTCCGGGCGCTGCGGCGCCGCRCTGGGATTGGGACACCTGCACTCGGCAGCGCTCCGCTCCGGGCAGCCTCCGGCCCCTTCCCTTGGCTCCTTCGGGATGGCGCGTGGCTGTGCTCTGCGCTGTGCCCTGCATGCTCCCCACATCCCCGCATCTTCACATCTCTGCTTCCCACATTCTTGCTTCCCTGTATCCCCACATCTCTGCATCCCCACACCCCTGCTTCCTGCATCCCTGCTTCCCTGCATCCCCACTTCCCAGTACCTCCACATCCCCATATCCCTGCATCCCCACGTCCCTGCATCCCCACAACCCCGCATCCGCTCACGCAGAGGCACCGGGGCGACGGGCTCCAGCAGCACCCACAGCAGCCGGTGGCTTTGCCTCCTCCAAGGAAAGCAAAGGACAGACCGGTCTGGAGAGGCCCTGGCTGCTGCTGTGCCTGGTGGGCCTCCAAATCACTCCGGATTGCTCTGGATTCCCATGGCACGGGAGCCTGTGGGCTGYGGGAAGGGAAAGGAAGCGCCCGTGGCCGCGGTGACGGTGCTTGCACGGGGATAAATCCTGACTCCGTTTGCACGGGAGGACTGTGGGGCCCCTCCGGCACAGCGCCCGTGGGAAACTTCACACCGGCATCGTCACCCACAGCCTTCGCCTGTGTCTGTCCCAGGGCAGATCCTTGGGAAAGGCATCGGGTTCTGATTTAAGGGTAGCGTGTACTAGGAGCAGCGCTGCATCCGTAACGAGCTAATGTGCTACTTGTCTCTTATATCTCTTATCTCTGGTATAAATTTATCTTGTTTCCCTTTCCAATTAGACTGGTTGGCAGGCAGGAAACTCTTAAGTAAGAGAAAAAGTCACCGTTTCTCATTAAGGCTTGAGATTCCAGAAAACCAGTATGAGCRAAAGATCAAAACATGAATAATTGCAGCCTTCTGTTATGCATTTAGGTGTAGAAAGGGTTTTTCTCCTCTCGTGTCGGCGCGTTGTGGGTCTGAGGAGCTCGGCTCTTACCTGAGCTCTCTCCGGGAATCTGGCACTTCCCGGGATGCCGGATCCTCCCAGCGAGTTGGCTGCTGGGTTGAAGTGGCTTTTAGGCACCTCTGGGACATGGGAGCCTTGTGTGGGCCCTGAGGGACCGGGATGAGGAGCACGGATGCTTTCCTGCCCCATCCCTTGCAGGAGCATCCCAAGGGAGGAGGGACAAAGGGACTTTGTCCCCGGCATTGTCCCGAGCAGCGTCACTGCTGCGTTATTAGCAGCGTTACTTAGCAGCTTCATGCAAAGCTGCTCTGAATTTACCATATAAAATCGGCAGCAACACGAGACTAATCCCAGCCCGAGGCGCCGAGCAAGGGCGGGAAGCCRGAGCACCCGGCATAGTCGGCAGCTATTTAATCCATAATGACAGGATTTGACGGTGGGACAATTCCATGCAAACTCCTTTGCCGGCACGTGGGATGAATCCCACCTGCGAGCCCTCCGCGAGCTCTAGGTGGAGTTCAGAGGAGCCTGTTGCAGGGCTGGCGCCGAGCCGCTCGCTGGGGCTGCAGGCGCCGCTTGAGCAATTTCCTGCTTTATTTAGAGGCAAAAAAACGCCACTCCGGGTCACTGGGTCTCCCTGTGGGTAGACTCAGCTGCGGATCAGTTCTCACAAGTGGGAAATACAGTCCCGAATGGCTGGGAGCTGGGATCCGTATCCAAGCTCAGGGGGATGCTGCATCCCTGATCCGACGCCCCCGGCGCGGGTGGCCGCGAGGGCCACCGTGAGTGTCTGGCACGGCCGCGGAGCACGCGGGAATGCCTGCCCCCGCTCCCCTTCGCCGAGAGGCTTCTCAGCGGGTCCCAGCCTCTTAATTTAATTACCCCCGAGCGGATAATCGCCAGCCGCTTCCTCTCTCACCTCGGCCTTGGCTGYGCTCCTTGTTGTCAGCACTCGGGCTCTCTGTGCGGCATAACAGAGGGAGGAAAGAAAAAAAAATGTGCAAAACGTCTCGTTCTGCAACAGATGGCTCGGAAGCCCGGGAAGGCTGGCCCTGGGAGGCAGGCGCTGGCTTTAAGGACGCTGGAGCTGGCGGAGCAGGGACGCACGGTTGCGGTTAGCCCTTGTGCGCGCGCCAGGCTGCGGCCGCGGTGTCCCGCGGTCACCGCCGCGCGCGGGGCCTCTCCCTCCTCCCGGGGTCGGCGTCAGCTCCGTTTCGTTTGCCGTGCTGCTGAACGTGCCCTCGGGAGCGGGGCCGCGTTGCTCGCCTCCCCGCCTGGCGCAGCGGCTGAGGACGGATGGMCGTCGTTACACCTGGGCTAGCAGGACCGCTCCAGGCTTTGCACCTAGGTGCATTGCAAAGGCTGGATCTCGCCGTGCCCACCCGGGGACSCTGCGAATCCTGGTCCTGCAAATCTCATTCCCATACGTGCTGGCTCCAAAGGGGGGATCTCCGTGTCCATCCCCACGGTGCGGGGCCGTCCCTGCGGCCCGGCTCCTGCCTGCTCCCGTCCTCGCTTTGCAGCCGCTTTTAGCAGGAGAACAAATGCTCCCCTAGAAGAGAAGGCACCATCTGCTCCYGGCGCCAAGCTGGTTTTCCAGTGGGTTGGTTTTAAGTGAGACCCACTGGGCTCCGAGCGGCAGCTGGCAGGGCCGGGAGGGATCTCACCCTCCTGCAGCTCCCTGCAAGCAGATGTCTGCGCATAGGGAAGGGGCTTGGGGACACGACAGGGATCGGGGGGCTCCTGCAGYTTCCCGAGCATCCCGAGGCCCTTGCCATGTCCGGAGCAAGGACATCCATCCGTGCGGATTTGGCCAGCAGAGCCCTCGCACGCGCCGTCTCTCTTGCCTTGCAGCCGCTCGTGTTGCTCATGGAGTGGCCTGAGGCCACCAACTTCGCCTGCCTCATCGCGGGCTACTGCCGGCTCCTGGTGGACTCCAAGCGGCTCCTGTTCCCGAGGCCGCCCCCGCCGCACCTGACCAAGGCAGGTATGTTTAAGGCTCTGCTTTCCGCGCGCCCGGGCTCGGCGGGGCGCGAGGAGGACATGGGGCACCCCGGCATCTCCCCTCCGAGAGCCTGCGGAATCCCCCCCTGCCTGGAATGCCGGGATGAGGGAGACCAGCCATGGCTATGGATGAGCGCTGGCTGGGATTCGGCACTCTGTGGGAGCCCACRGGCTCCGGAGGCCGCCGGGACAGGGTGGCCAAGCCGGGCAGTGCTCAGCAAGGGCTCTCCTGCTGGCACCTTCAGCAATGCAGGGGCTGGAACTGTGCCCCGTTCTCTGCATCCAGAGGGAATTTCGGTGTCTCGGGTGGAATTTGGGGTGCCTGGTGGGATGCAGGGAGCAGACAGCTGCCCCAGGCACCACAGCAGGCAGCTCCTGACCCTCTCTGTGTGCCTTGAGGGCAGGTTTCAGCTCCCCATCACCCTCTAAGGGACTGATTATTGTCAAGAGAGATTCCAAGCAGGAGCCACCCGGAGCTGCCGCTGTTGTCCATGCGGGCGCAGGTGCCGAGGGCCATTTTGCTACGGTCCAACGTAGTCAGCAGGGGTGGTGACAGTCCCCTTGGCACTTGTTGGGAATGCCAGTCCCTCTCCAGATGCCACCGCATGCTCGGCGCTGTGATAAAACCCTCTCTGCCGGAGCAATGGAGCGTTTTCCCTGCACCGAGCCTGATTGCTCCGGCATCATTCAGGAGGAGGGAATCTCRCTAGTATTGGGAAAACAAAGTCTGCCCACGGCTTCGGCCTCGCTACGGTGCAGGCTGCGCTGTCAGGAGCCCAGCGGGTCACAGCGAGCAGGGGCTATGGAGCATTAGTGCATCCCTGCAGGAATGATAGGAAAGCCCCGCTGGGATGCGCCAGGTGAGCCCAGGCTTGGCTTTGCAGGCTGCAGACAGCCCTGCCAAGATGCCAAGGGTGAAATGCGGCCTGACCGGTGCTTTGTGCCGGGGCGAGGAGCGCATCTCTCCTCCGTGAGGTCTGTTAAAGCCTCCTACCGAACAGCAGGCGCTCGGCGAGCCGCGCGCTCCRCGTCGGTGCCGTCAGCGGGATCATCCCCTGCGTCTCTCTGGGGAGCAAAACGCCAGATCCCGGCTCCGGCTGCACTCACGTTGCACCTTCCAGCCCCCAGCAGAAATCAGAGGAAATCCCAGCTCCGGGCTAGGAATTTCTCCCCTGYGGCATCTGGCAGCCGGGATGCAGACCCCAGTTTCAGCCATAGGGTGAACCTGGCTGCGGCTCCGCAAACGCAGCACAACAAAATCACGCGCTCGGGGAGACAAACGGTCCAATTTGTTGGGCTAATGAATTTAATTAGGATTTATTTCATTTAATTTATACTGCGTAAGCTGCAGCCTGCGTCCCCTGGCACAGCCAGGCCGTTTCCCATGCAGAGACCGGGCCCTGGATGGGAGTCCAAGCTGCATCCATGTGATTCCTTCTTGCACTGCAGCYGCTTCCCAGCATTTCCCATGCCTGGCGCCGGCTCTTCCCGGGTCCACGGTGCTCAGCTCCGAGCCAGGCGCTGGGTGCTCTGCAGGGGGCTCATGCTCTCCTTATGTTGCTATTACGCAGCTCGGGAATGAGGCGTTTATTCAGAAATGAGACATCTATTCAGAAATGAGACATCTATTCAGAAATGAGACATTTTTGCAGGTAACCAAGCTGCAGAGCACAGCAAGAAAGATGAGACATCCAGGAAACCCAGGGCCGGGAAAGGTTAAAGGAATTAGGTGCAGTTAGCCTGGGCAAGGGAAGGGGGAGGAAGGAGGTGCAGGACAATCGCTGTTTGCAAAAGGACAGTGATCAATGGCTCTGCAGGGCCAGGGTGTCATTGATCTAATTCTTAGCCAAAAAGCAAAGAGAAAAGCTTAAGGAGCTGTATTTCATGATAAATGTCATTGTATTAAATGTTATAAGATCTAGATGACCTGAGCTCTATAATGTGCACCATTGCGGGGACATGGGACAAATTCCATAAGGAGAACGGAGCAGCACAGGGCGCGGGTGATGCTCCTGCCTTCCCGTCTGCCGCTTCCCTTCTCCACCTTTCCCATCCCCTGCTTCCCTTCTCCACCTTTCCCATCCCCTGCTTCCCTTCTCCACCTTTCCCGTCCCCCGTTTCCCTTCTCCGGTGCTGCTCCTAACGCTGCCCTTGCGCCCTCGCTCCAGATCCCGTCCCCGCGCCGCGTGCTGCCGCGGCTGAGCGCGGCGCCGGCGACGAGCTCCTCGGCCTCTGCTACCTGCACATGCGAGAGCCGGGCAAGGAGCGCGAGAGCGGCACGGACGTCACCRAGAACCTGATCCCTTTGGAGGAAACCCGTCCCCGCACCAAGTCCGACCCCACTCCCAAGAGCTCGGGCCAGGGGCGCGAGGGCGGCGAGGCGGCCCGCGAGCCGCGTGCGCGCCGGGCCCGCGCGCACACCATCGACTCGCACCCGCGCGGCGACGCCGTGCCCTTCTACTGCGACTCCTGCAAGGCCAAGATCAAGGGCCGCGCGGCGGCGCGCAGGGCCGCCGGCGCCCACGACACCATGGTGGACCTCATGTCCCTGCCGCCGCCGGGCAGCGACGAGGAGGAGGAGGAGGACGAGGCGGCGGCCCTGCTGCCGGCCATCGCCGCGCCGCCGCCCGGCTTCCGCGACACCAGCTCGGACGAGGACGACCCGAAGCGGCGGGCGGCGGCGGCGGCGGCAGCGGCGCAGAGCCAGGAGCGGGGCCGCCACCTCTGCGGCCTCCTCTGCGACGAGGTCCCCGTGACGCTGATAGACGCCGTGCAGACGCGCACGGTGCGCGACCACGCGCGGGAGCTCGACGACGCCCTCGTGTCCACGCTGCAGGCGCTGGAGGCGCTGGCGGCCTCYGAGGACTGTCCGCACCCGCCGCCGCCGCCCACCGCAGGTAGGGCAGCCCTCCTTCCTCCCTAGGGAAGATCCTTCCCGTCATCCTCCTCCCTGTCTTTTCTCAACCCTCCCTGTAGGTGACTGCAGGGCAGTTCCTCATGAAAGCTAAACTGCAGCAACAGAGTCCAGCAGGAGCAGCCAAACCGTTGCTCCAATTCCTAAGACCCAGAGATGGGAACCCTCCTCCTCCTCCTCCTCCTCCTCCTCATCCTCCTCCTGCTCCTCGTGGAGGACCCCTTTGGTTGTCCCCTCTCTGCTCTGCTCCCCCTGACCCTGCTCACTTGTGTTTGGCCCTTGCTCCTCTCGGGTCCACCCTGCAGTTCTGCAGCGTGTGGCCCCTTTTCCTTTTTGCTCCCTATTCCTGMCCCTGGAGCCCTTCCCAGGACCTTTTCCTGGTGCAGGAGCTCTTGCTGAGTTAAGCTACGAGCTGACTCGGTGCTAACGAACGATGGCTCTGCAACGTGCTAAGCCTTAGGAGGAGGAGGTCACTGCGGTTCCTCTGCTGCCAYGTCCGGCGTCCCGGAGCTCCTCTCTCGTCCCGCAGCGCTGTGACACTCGTAGCATGGGTGCGGGTGTCTCTCTGTGTCCCTCCGCAGGTCTTATCGTCCTGGCTGCCATCACTCCTGAGTCATCCTTGGATTCGGGCCACGAAACCAACTCGTCGGAGCTGACGGACGTCTCCGAGATGGTCTCGGCCATGAAGCAGCACCAGAGCGCAGCCTACTTGCTCGCTCAGCACCTCGGCAAGGAGAGCCTGCTGGCGAGGAAGGAGCTGCCTCTGCGCGTGCCGGGCTGCGCCGCCCAGGCCCTGCTCGCCTCGCCCTACGCCCTCGGCCGCCCGGAGCCCAATCCTTCGCGGAAGCCGGAGTGTCCCCTCCAAAGCCCCAGCAATGGGCAGAGCCCGCAGGAGCAGCAGCAAGTGGAGCGGAGCCGCCCCTCGGCCGTGCAGCCGGCGCCCCAGCTGGGCGAGCAGAGCCGGGGACCCCCCGAGTGCCACGGGGCCGGCCCCGCCAGAGCCGCCTTTGGGGTGTCCCTGGCGCCGGGAGCAGCCTCGAGCGCGGAGCAGGCCCGCGCTTCCCGAGAGACGGTGCCCAAGGAGGTCCGGCCGAGCCCCGCGCTCCTCCTGGATCCGAGGAGCGGCGTGAGCCCGGCCTTCGTCGCAGCCGCTCTGCAGCAGGCGGCCGGCGCCAAAGGCTCCGCTTCCCAAGTGGCGGCGGCTCCGAGCGAAGACAAGAACATCAGCGGCCTCGCGGCCTCCGGCGGCAAGTCCGGGAAACTTAAAGGAGGCCAACAGGCTGAGGACACGTTATGCAACTGTCAGCAGCAGCAGCCGCCCAGCGAAGCCTCTGCAAGCCCTAAAGAAGCTCCTGGCAGTAGGGCCGAAACATCCCACCTGGTCTCCATGGGGGAGGAAACGATGCCTAGTAAGACTTTGCCCTCTAAAAGCTACCAGCCAAAAGTGAGCAGGGATCCCCTAGGAAAAGCTCCGTGTGGAGAGCCAGGTCAGAAGGCAGAGGGCGAGGCCACAAGCCTTGTCTTTCCAAGACACGTGGCTCCTCCGAACCTAGGGGAGAAGATGCAGCAGGAAAACTCAGTCAAAGGTTTCAAAGCGGAGAGCGGCTGTCTGCACTCTCCATCACTTGGCAGCACCTTCAGGAGCACCAGTGAGGACCCCAAGGGGCCGATCCAGCTGGTGCCCAGGCCCGAGGGCCTGCAGATCAGCACTGTGCCTTGCAAAAAAGCAGAAAAAGTCCTGGAGATGCCCCAGCAAGCTGCTGACGCCCCAGCTAAACCCAAAGCKCCCAAAGGTCCCTTCAGGTTGAGGAACCTCTTCTCGGCAACGTTCCCTACGCGGCTGAAGAAGGAGACGGACGAGCGGCAGGCCCAGCTGCAGAAGGTGAAGCAGTACGAGCTGGAGTTCCTGGAAGAGCTGCTCAAGCCCAAGGGCAAAGGAGACCTTCCCCCGCAGGAGTACCTGCACCCTCCTGCCCCTGGGCGCTGCAGCTGCCAGCTGAGGAGCAGCCCGGTGCAGAAGGTGCCCGGCATGTCCAGGGAGCAACGACGCAGCTGCGACTGCAAGCGCATTTGCAGGGGGGTGAGGCCGCTTCCCAACCAGCTGGCGATGCCGGACCCGGAGAGGCAAGGCAGGGAGAAAGCCCTGGACGAGCAGAAGCAGGCAGAGGCAATTCGGTTGATGAGCATGAGCAGCCCTTCCATGGGCAAGCGGATACGGTCGACAAGCCTGGAGTCCAGAGATTACCGCTCAGACCCCGAGAACGGCGTGTCCTGCTTGAGCACGTGCGCTTCCCGGGGGGAATGCATGGGCGCTCCCCACTACAAGAAGCTCCTGCGCCGCTACAGCGTCAGTGAAATAGATAAGACTGACAGGACGTCTCTGTCCTCGGAGATCTACCAGAACATCTATACCGTCAAGCAGAAAGGCTTCCCGAAGGAGTGCGAACCCAGCATCTACGGCTCTGTTCTGAAAAGCAAAATCCAGGAAGCCTCTGGAGCGGCTGATCCGTCTTACGTGCAAATAGCGCAGGAGAAGAAGAACCAGAAAGGCTCCGCGGTGTTCTCTGTGCAGGAGGAGATGTATCCGAGTGCTGCTGGGCTGCGAGATGAGGACATGGAGGATGAGAAGTGCTGCTCCATCCGCTACTGCTTCTACTACAGGAAATGCGATGTGGCAGATGACGGGAGCGAGAAGGACGAGCTGTCCTATTCCATCCCCATGCAGATACTCCCGGGAATGAAGCTGGACAATCAGATGGTCCCGGTCATGAGCAGGACCCTGCAGGTCCTGGACGCAACGGCCTGCAGCAGTCCCAACGGCAGTCAAACCCAGGAAATAGATTTGAGGTCCTCCACCTTTGAAGGGAGCCTGGCAAAAATCAACACCCTTCGCGGCCATGCCTACAGCCTGCCCGACGGGTTTCTGCAGGTGCAGCTGGACACCAACGAGCTCCTGATGGTCCTGAGGCAGTGCGTGGTGAGCCCCAAGGGCCGGGACTGCAAACCCTACGTGTCCCAGCTGGCTGAATACAAGCAGGAGCTCGCGCTCAAGTTCAAGGAGTTCCGCGCGTCCTGCCGCCGCGTGGCCGCCGTCGACAAGAGTCCCACGCGCATGCTCTGCGCCATCACGAGCAGCTTCCAGGTGCTAAGCGGCCTCATCGAGACCTTCGTGAGGCTGGCGTACGTTGTGCGCTCCGAGTCGCAGCGCCAGGAGCTGCTGGCCAAGGTGGAGGAGGTGGTGAGGAACTACACGTTCCTCCTGCGGGCCGCGGAGGAGTCCACGGCGCGGACGCTGAGCCATCAGCAGGCGGCCGAGCAGCTCGCGCGCCAGTCGGCCACGGTGGCCACTGTCATGAGCACGCTCACGCGCTCCCTGAAGACGCTCATCAATAAGTAAGCCGGCCAAGAAAGCCAACGTGCGTGCCAAGCCCTGTGCCTGTGGTCCTCACGTCACGGAGGTCTCATGAGGATGAGTGTCTGGAAAGCCCACCCCTTGGCCATTCCAACAGCCGAGACCTTCTGGAAAGCCTTCATCTGCTGGGGGTTCCAATGGCCAAGACCTTCTTTCATCTCTACTGGGTGAATGGTGATGTTGGTGGAGCTTCCGAAGGGTCRATCCTGCCACTCTGCTTGCTCTCTCACGCCGGCTTCCCGGTGACCTTCCCAGGGAGACACAACCACCCCGTCTCCACGCCTTTGGGTCCACGTAGTTCAGGGCCTCCCTCCTGCAAAGACCAGACACTGTCTCCCGCGGCCGCGCGGTGCTGGGCTGGTGAGCAGGGACTGAGCTGAGACCTCCCACTTCACTTGGGTCCAGCTCGGAGCCCAACCAGCGTCTTGCCACGGAAACAGCTCTTGAGCCTCGCCGGGTCCGACCCACGGAGGCGGCGTTCGGAGGGCACCTCCGAGGTCCTCCAAGAGCTCCCCAAGCCCTTCCCTCTGCCTTTGCGCCGGAGGGGACGGCAGCTCCGCGCTGCCGGGAGCCGCGGCCGCCGCGGCCCGAGGGAGCCGCGATCCGTCTCTGCCTCCGCCGGGGTGACTGCCATGAGAAGCGCTATTTGCTCCTGTGTGATGGCTGTTCATTTGGGTTATTTTTTGGTTTGTTTGTTTGTTTCACTTCCAGATGAATGGTAGACTGATGCCTAATTGTTTTCCTTCATACCCCAAGGTTCCTGTCCTCCTCCTCCTCCTCCTCCCCAGTCTAGCTTCTAGACCTCATGAATCAGACCGCCTTAACTGGTGCTCCAGGGCACCTCCCTGCCCGTGGAATGGAGCGAGGAGCGAACKCCGGGTCACACACCCAGCCCGTGTCCCCAGGGGTGCCCCGGGGCTCCCAACACCCCAGGGGACACCCCAGCATCCACCCACGGGGCCGGACAGCGGGACGGAGAAGGGCTGCCGCGCTCGGCCCCACGGCCGGCGGGCGCGGGATGCTCAGGAGGGATCCCCATGGCTCACCTGCCCCCTCTCATATCTTCATTTTATTTATTTATTTATTTTTAATAGGAAACGCACATTCGGGATCTCTCGCGTTCTTCCGCCGGAGTTAGGGAAAGGCACACCGTGCTTTTCACCCGCGCATCCTCTACCGAGTGCAATAACGAGGCGCCCTGGCCCGCGAGGCACGGCGGCGCCCGCCGAGCGCCCTCCTGCCTCCTGCTTTCCAGAACCATGTAGCAAATACGGAGCGAACACCGAGCGGAGGAGCATCCCGTTCGGATCCCGTTCGGATCCCRTTCGGATCCCGYGGCGGGTGACGCCCGCGACGGCGGCCGAGGTCGTCGGCGAGCTCCGTCCTCCCGTTCCCGCGAATGATCGATGCCGAAACCGTGAGTTCCCTCGAGCTCCCCGTTACGCCGATAGCATTCCTCCAAAAATCTCTCAGTCTAATACAGAGGAAGATTTTTTTATTGTCTGTATATAGTATRTATAAATAAAWATATATATATAAATTATATATATATAYACACACAAATTTATGTCTTGTTTTACAAACAAGAAAGATTAAATATATCAATCTTAATATCCAAACTAGCATTTTGTGTGTGTTTTTCTAACAACTTTGCAGGGGGAGAAGCGAGGCCGGGGACCGCAGGGCTCCCGCATCCCTCCGCTTTCCTGGGAAGCCCAAACGCCAGCAGGGACACGTACAGACCACTCAAATCCCTTCCTAGCCACAGGTGACGTTTCCAATATCCCCGTTCCTCCRGGGACTCGTTTTGCCTGGCACAAYGAATTCCCTGTTTATAGAGGGAAGAGCATCCGCGCGTGTCCTCGATACACCTCGAAGCCTCCAGGAACAACGGTGCAACAYCCAAACCTGCGGAACGGGGTTGTTTTCCTTCCCGGGGGTCGGRTTGCGTCAAAAGCGGAGACGGCCGCAGCCGAGCCCGGCGCTTTCGCGGGGCCCCCGGGAAATTATTTATTTCCRTCTTATTTCCATCCGCATCACCCAATTTCCCAAGCTGAGATAACTAACGACGCCTGACAGCCGAGGGGACCAAACACCTATTTATAAAGCGGGGTGTGGATCAGAAAAACAGCCAAGCCGAGCGTTTCTCTTCCCGACACATAGATCCTGGAAGCACTATTCGCAGCAAGCAGTTTTATGAGCAATTTCAGTGGATTTTTCTTTTTTGTCTTAGTTCTCTTAGTACCATCTAGTGGACAAGCAGCAGCCTGGCAGAAGGAATTAGTTGGTGGCAATACAGATATTTGTGTAGCTCCAGAGCCAGGCAGATGCACCTRAGGAACGGGAGCAGCTCTATTAGCACCTATCAAAATGCATTCCCTGCTTTATTTTTATTACATTCATCTTTTAGGTATCGCCTCTCAGTGCTAGGCAATTGTAAGGTCTGCTGGAGGAAACGAGCCAAGTAAAATTCCCTAGTTTAAATTTTTTGAATACCAGATTAAAAAAAAAAAAAAAAAAAAAGCTCCATCACAGTTGCACGGTGTAGATAATTAGGGATAAATTGGGGTTTTTTTTCCCCAGATGCAGGTCCCTTCTCGCTGCCCCTCTGGTTTATCTCCCTGGAAGCGGCGCTGCTTCGGCTGCCGTTCCCGCCGCTCCAGCGCAGCACCRGTGTCCCCAGGAGGCTACAGCCAAGTATATATGGTGCCCTAGGGCACCAGCACCAAAATGCACTTGCAATGGTCCTCAGTGGCCTCCTGCCTTCCCTTGATCTCCTCCGAATTACGTGCACTCCTGGGGAGTCCCAACCAGAGCTCTGTCACTGGCCATGGATCGGAAAGGGACCGAAATTGTGCCGATTTTGCTCCCTCTAATGCACATGCAGAAACCGCCAGACCCAACTTCCYGAGTTAATCCAGGAGGTGAAAAATGAGCAAACGCGGAGCCGTATTCCTGCTGGGATGAAGCCGCCCGTGTCCCTGGGGAGCGCTGCTGCCCGTTCTCAGCCATKGCAACAACCGGGCACCCCGTTTTGCAGCACGTCAGCGGGGCCACCCTGATCCCTGCCGCCCGGCCGGGACGTCGCAGCGGGGCCAGCCGAATAGCTGGGAGCCGCCGATGCCTGCAGCGAGTTGGCAGCAAATATCAATGAGTAATGTCTCCGTTTTAGCCCCGTTTCAGACACAATGGGTGCCCGGGTGACACAGCCGAGCAAATCCCYGCGGCTTTGGGCTGCGCCCGGGAAAGTTGGGCACCCCGGCTCGGTTAGATTTCCTGCCCGCATTGAGCCTGCCCCAAAGCAGACAGGGCGCGTGACGGGGAAGTGGTTTCCAAAGGCGGCCTCATTCCAAAGGCTCATCCCTGCGAAGCCGGGCGCACAGTGGAGCAGCCGAGCGGAGCCACTGCCCTCTGCCACTACCCTCTTCCCAAATCCAGAGGGAATAGAGAGGGGGTTGTGTCCTGCAGCTGGACTATCTTCCTTTATAATTTCATTAGAAAGCAAAAAAATGCTGTTTAAAGGGGTGGAAACCCCAGCAGCGCCTTTCTGCTCYATGCACCAAGTAGCTACACGTGCTAAACACGGGGGTGAAGATAAATGGGGACACTGTGCAGAAGCTCTGCAATACTCCGCTTCCAAAAAGCACCTTGGAAATGCCCAGGAATATGGCGTGATTAAGGAAAAGCCATCAATGCACAGCATTCCCTTCTGCCGGAATTCCCTCCTCCYTTCCCTTCCGTGTGCATGCAACAGGCTGTGCAGAAAGGCAGCGCTCCCGGGTGAGCTTCCCTCCTAAATASCGCTCATCTGAAACCAATGGGAGGCCTAAAACCGAGCCACTTTTCTCTGCAAAGGAAAGTGTTGCAGCAGCCTCAGTAAAGACCTGGAAGCAAGACATTCCTTATTGCATCCTAGCAGCTTTGATTGGAGCAGAGAGCGGGATTTATCTGAAAATAACCCCGTGCAAACCGAGAGCGGCACAGGGGCTGGCAGGAGAACAGGCAGCCACCAGAAACACCCCCAGGCTCCAGGTGAGCGTTCCTGCAGCCACAGGGAATCCTGCAGTTTTCCAAACTGTCAAGCGAGCCCTGGCAAAGGSGGGAATCCAGGGATGTCACCAGCCCGATGGTGCTGCACGAGGCGCCAAGGCGAACGCGCCCGCGCCGTCGATTCGTGCATCTGAAGGGCAAAACGGTAGCGCTGCTGTCCACAATCCAYCCCCTCGCCACCAGCACGGGCTGCTGCCCGCGAACGGCACACGGAAAGGAGGAAAAAGGCTCTCAGCAACACGCCTGCCGCATGAAAACGGGGCCTTGATTAAGTGCCTGGCGGGAATTGAGCGGCAATTGTATGGAGGAATGTGCCCCACGAGCAAAAAAGCGCCGGGCTTGACATCGCTCTGCAGTTTGATGGAGTTAATGTGCTCCCTAAAGCTTCCTGGAAAATACCCTCGGAGGCCAGGAAACACAAAGCGGTTCTGGCTGAGCGAACCTCCGCAGAACCCCATAAATAAAGAGGGAGGTTTGCCACTCGTGCGCTTTCGGGTACATTAGTGTCCTCGAGTGGACGTTAGTTTCTTTCTTAATTCCCTAAATAGGGAATTAAGAGAGCGGCTCTAACTACAGGTTAATTCTTTCCAGGGCCCAAATGAACTGGTGCTTGACCTCACTACGAATCCTGGGCTAATTAAACAGAATTTCTGCATGACGTGATGTGATTTATCCTGCTCAGCAATCAAAGCACAGCAGAGCAAAGCGAGCAAGGCCCTTTCCTTGTCACCATCCACRCGTTTGGATGCAGCTTCCCGACCAACCCGTAGTTCACCCGCATCCATTCTCCTAACAAAACGAAAATGGAAAAATGGAAATGGRAAAAAAAAAAATGGAAAAGTGGAAATGCAGGTTGGCAAAACGCTGGGGAAGGCGATGGGGAGCTTTGGGGAGGTGTTTAACYGAGCCCACGCTGCGTATTGATTAGAGGCTTTTCCGCAATAAAATCTCTGCTTATCCCGCCGTAAGAGGCTCTCTAACGACTGCAATAAAWCCTTCAGGCGCACGGACTTTTGTCCTTACAGCCGAAGCGTGACCCTGCGGAGATGGTGACAAGCACCGGGGCTGCAAACGGTTCAGAAACAGGGACAAACGTCCCAGGGACCCGCAACAAGTCGCTTGTCCCCCAGGTCCCACCGACTGTCCTCAGGAAGCTGCTGCAAGCCTGGGTTTTGGAGGGAGGAGAGGCCCTGAGGTTATTTTTGGTGTATATTGCTTTAATCAGTGAAAAATATATCGAGAGCAAACAGCCAAAGATACAGGGCATCCAAATCTGCAATTTGCAAACGAACGTGAACTATCGTTTGGAAAATGTTGCCCCCAAAATCCTTTCCCTGGAGCCACTAGGAAGCCACCTGACAAGAGGCAATTCCCCATCCTATTAAAACAAGCAATATTTAGAAAGAAAATGATAGAAATACAAGGATACATCTGTATTTTCCCAGGCTTTGGATTCTCTGTATGTCAGAGCATTTTATAAAGCACTGGGCGAATACCCAAGTGTTGGGAATTACCATCCATACCGTTTTCCATTTCCACCTCGATTCCAAGTATGGGATTTGGCATSTCTTCTAATCCACGGGGATCCCAAGTTGAATGAAACCTCCCCAAATTGTAACCCTGTCGATACCAGTTTATCAGCCCTTTGGGACAGGAACAGTCCCAGTTTGCAACAAAAGAGAAGGAAAACGTGCCCATCCCAAATGCATCCTGCAGACTATTTCTCAACGTAAAGACTCGTCAATGCCCAATTAATTGCTGAATTTTGTTATCTAACAGCTAAGGAAACTTGTACAAAATACGGGATAGCATGCACCTTGTGAAGAAGCTCTTTGTGGCTTTATCTTTATTTTGTATAATTAAAAGCCTTTAACTGCAATGTTTATTTTAGCAAAAGCTAAATTAATATACAGAATTTAATCACATACGGAATGAAAGCTCGCAGGAGCTTAATTACCAAATTAGGCGCAAAAATACTTGATTAAACACACAAATAAAACCTTCAGAAATCAAATTCAACAGCTTGTTAATATAATGCCCGAGGAAGGTTTTGATGTCGATCCAAAACACAGGAAAAAAAAACAACACCCACAAAGCACCCCTATATTTGCAGTGAGGAAGACGCCCCACGACTGTAGCTGTTCTGATCTCCAGATGTGGCCAACAGGTATTTGCACAAGGAAAACAAACACACCGGCACGGCACGGTGACACGGTACAGTGTTACACAGGGGTACAGCAGCCCGGCGAGGTGTTGCTTGTTCAGTGCTACACTGGGTCACCGTGGCCCGGTGAGGTGACACTGGTACAGTGTTACAGGGGGCGTAACAGCCCCATAAGGTGTTGCCAGTACCATGTTACACATTGGCACGGCAAGGTGACGCCGGTACAGCATAATACAGGGGTACAGCTGGCTGGTGAGGTGACATTGGTACAGCGTAACACAGGGATACAATCGCCCAGCGAGGGGGTGCCRGTACAGCATTAGATTGGGCCACTGCGGCCTGGTGAGGTGTTGCTGGTACAGTGCTATGGGAGGCACAACAGCCCGGCAAGGTGACGCCACTACAGTGTTACGTATTGGCATGGCAAGGTGACACTTGGCACATGGCAAGGTACAGCATCACACGGGGTACAGCAGCCTGTGGAGGTGACACCAACACAGCGTTACAGCACTACAGGGCATCCTGGCAGGGTGACACACAGGGGTACAGCGTTACAGCGTGACAGAGCGGCCCAGCAGGGTGACGCCGGCACAGCGTTACACAGGAGTACAGCGTGACACAGCAGCCCAGCGGTGTAACACTGGTACAGCGCTACACAGGGGTACAGCAGTACAGTGTGACAGAGTGACCCGGCAATGTGACGCCAGTACAGCATTACACAGGGGTAGTGTGACACGGTGGTCCGGTGGGGTGACGCCGGTACAGCATTACACAGGGGTACAGTGTGACACAGCATTAACAGGGTGATGCCGGTACAGCGTTACACAAGGGTACAGTGTGACACGGCGGTCCAGTGGGGTGACGCCAGTACAGCGTTACACAAGGGTACAGTGTGACACAGCATCAACAGGGTGACGCTGGTACAGTGTTACACAGGGGTAGTGTGACAGCGCGGCCCGGCAGGGTGACGCCGGTACAGTGTTACACAGGGGTACAGCACTACAGTGTGACACAGCCGCTCGGCGAGGCGACACCCGCACGGCAGCCCGGGCGCCGCAGGAACGTGGCCGGAGGCCGGGCAGGCCCAGGCGCCGCAGCCGCCAGCCCAGCAGGGCCGCAGCCGCCCTGGGCGCCATGCTGAGGTAAGAGGGAAGCTCACGGGGGTTTCCCCCCGGGCACCGCACGGCGCTGCGGCCCGGCGGGCACCAGGGGCCATTTTCTGTGCAGCGCCCTGGCCGTCGCCGGGCCCCCTCAGACAGGGGAGCCATCATGGCCGCCCTGGTGGGGGGGCGCCCAGTCTCCCCTCTCCTCCTGCTCGCGGCCACGTGGGGCAGCTCAGGCTGCGACCGCTCTGACCAATAGCGACCCGACGGCCAGGCGGCGGCCAATCGCCTCGCAGCTCCTGCGTCTCGTCCCGCCCCCTGCAACGAGTAAGCAGCGCCCCCTGGGCAGCGGGTGTCACATCTCTGCCTCCTCCCACCCGGGACTGTTGAGGGCGGGGCAGGGGGGGGACCCTGCGCGCCATTGGCTAGTCTGACTGAGCCCCGCCTCCTCGACCCCGCGGAGCCAATGGGAAGCTCGGCCAGGCATGGCTGCGGGGGCGGGGAGTCTATAAAGGGCCCGCGCGGCTGGCGGGAAGGGGTAAGATGGCGGTGTAGGCGCGAGCCGGTGTGTCCTGCGCTCTGCCCTCGCCTCAGGCGCCCGTGTGTCACCTTCCGGCGGAGGCGGCTGGATCCCGACTCGCAAGGCGGCCGCGGTGTGAGGCGGGAGGAGGAGGAGGACAAAGCCTCCGGTGCCGCCCTCGCCGTCATGCCTAACATCAAGATCTTCAGCGGCAGCTCGCACCAGGACCTGTCGCAGAAGATCGCCGACCGCCTCGGCCTGGAGCTGGGCAAGGTGGTGACCAAGAAGTTCAGCAACCAGGAGACGTGGTGAGGCAGCGCGGCGGCAAGGAGGGCGGGGGGGGGGCGGAGCCGCGCACTACAACTCCCAGCAGGCAGCGCGGCGTCACCGCGCCGATTAACCCGCGCGCGCTGCGCGGGGGCTGCTGGGAGTTGTAGTGCGGGCGGGGGGAGGAGCGCCGCCGGAGCGGGGCCTCCTTTCCCGCCGCGTCGCGAGGAGCCCCGGGGGCGGGGGCGGCGGCTGCGGCGGGGGAGCCCCGGAGGGGGAGGCGGCCGCCATGTGCGGGGCCCTCCCGCCGCTCCCCTCCCTCTAGCGGCGCGGCCTCGCGGCGCCGCCCGTGCCATATGGGCCCCTCCGGCGGCGCCCCGCGGGCATTCCCGGTTCTGCTGCATGTGAGGGGGAAAAACCCGGGCTGGGTAGGCAGGAGCCCGGAGGGAAGCGGCTGGATCAGCAGAATCCCCGGGCAGGCCCATTGTGTGTCCTGTGGGTGCGAGGCTGGGATGCAGCCCCTGTGGGACCCCATGGCCCTCGTCACATCGCTGTCCGCGAGCTCGGGGGCCTGAGGCCTCCCCAGTGCCCGGGAAGAGGCTGCTGCCTTCCAGCTGCACCGGGATTTGGAGCTGATCCTAACGTGATGCACGGAACATGGCCCAGGGCCCCTAACCTCAAATGATCCTGCTCTTCTGGAAACAGCTCTTTTCCATTAAAATCTAGGCTAGAAACAGGTAGAACACCCCAGAGGCTTCCATTGCATGGGAATACATTGTAATCCAAAGCTCCAGAGTTACCTCCAAGACATGTAGAGGAAACCAGTCCAAAGACTGCTTATGTCTTAGTTGCTGCCGTTGCGCTGCGCTCGTTACTAATTGTCGATTGCTTTTACCTGATGAATTGGTTTGTCAGGGTCTTAATGTCCCCAGATAGTGCAGCTCTTTAAGGTCGGATGCCTCCTGTGTACCCCAGTAAACTGAGGGCCAATCCTTGCCTGAAAAAGCAAGATTGTTGRAAGTTGGTGGATAGAAGAGCTGGCTGATGTTTTGTGTAATAATACCAGAGAGCCTTCTGACTGTTAGCAGCTCCARTTGGTGACCATTGCATGCTGACATGCGCTAGGTCTGGCTCTTTCCTAGTGAAAAGTCCCTATGTTGGTCCCAGTTCTGATCGAGGGATTGGTTTGTGCTGTAAGTCCAGGTATAAGATAGCAAAAAGCCTGAATCAGCAGCTTGAGCAGCAAGACTGTAAATGCGTAGAGGTCATCAAAAACATGTTGAGGAAGGGAAGTAAGATCAGAGAATGAACTCTTAATATCAAAAATCCMCCCCAGGACTCTAAAAATGGAGCCTTTAGGGTGATGTCCCATGCTCAGAAGTGACTCAGAGACCTGGCAGCAGYCGGAGTGGATGGACATCTCCAGGGCAAGAGGAAGGAATCTGCAGGGGAACATGGTGCTCTGGTTATTTCGAAATCTGGCGTGCTCCTCCAGCCTGCAGTGCTGGAAGCAGGAGCAGTTAATTTGCTCCTACAAGAGGCCTTTTGCAGCGCTCGCCTGTGTGCAAGCCCGGAGCGGCGCCTGCCGCTCGCTCCCCGGCGCCGCGTTGGGTGCAGGTGCCTCGGCACAAGCTCCAAAGCTTCCTGGCCATTTGCCGCTGGCAAACAGGACCTTTGGCTTGTATTCAGGCTCTTCATCAGCAGGGATTAGTGTGCATTACATCCAGGAGGAAATTAACCCCCGAAGCCTTTCCAAAGTGAAATGCTGGAGGGCTTCTCTGTCCAAGCCACTGAATAGCTGTTGTGGTTCTAAATCTAATAATCTGCTGCAGTGGAGCTTCTGTTGGAAGTTTGGCTCAGCTTTCTCTGCTGACTGGCCGTAGCGCCTGCCTCCTTTAGACACTGCTGCTGTTAACTGAGAGGGGCACAAATCTGTGGTCCGGGGCAAACAAGGGCCCTTGTGGGGTGTGTGCACGCACGGGTTGTGCTGATATGGAAAGTACAGGCCGAGTGCTTTTAGTCCTACTGACTGACCCATTAAATGTCATCAGTGAGCACTGCAAAATAGTCACTGCGCAAATAGGCTGCAGCCTCCCTGCTCAGCACCCGCGATTCCCTTGTCACCCCCAGCCCCTTGGGACTGCAGTGCCGTGAGTGGCAGCCACATTCGCTCAGCACACACGTGTGCAATGCAGGGCTCTAATTAATTTGTATTGGGATACATCTCTTTTTTTTTTCCCCTCTCCAATCTGTTCCCAGTGTGGAAATAGGGGAGAGCGTGCGYGGGGAGGATGTCTACATCGTGCAGAGCGGCTGTGGCGAGATCAACGACAACCTGATGGAGCTGCTCATCATGATAAACGCCTGTAAGATTGCCTCGGCCAGCAGAGTCACCGCAGTCATCCCCTGCTTCCCCTATGCTCGCCAGGACAAGAAGGACAAGGTAAGGCTGTTGGGAAGGGCTTCTGGGAAGATGCATGCTTGAAAGCACTGGCTGGGGTTTAGATGGTGCTGAATATGTAAAAAAGGAGATGACAGGCTTATTTTAACTTCTTAAACCTTGGGACATTGGACTATAAAGTCATCTTTTCATAAAAATCCAGTTCTTGAAAATACACCAAGCTGTAATCAKCATTGATTAGATGCAATGTTAATGAGCACCCCTTTTAGCAACTGCCTGTGATTCATTGCTTGGAAGCAGAAGGCTGGCATCTTGATGAGGGAGTTGAACTTGTCTTAAATACTCTTATTTTCTTTTATTTTTTCTCTTGTTCTAGAGTCGAGCCCCAATCTCTGCCAAGCTGGTGGCAAACATGCTGTCTGTGGCTGGTGCAGATCACATAATCACCATGGACCTGCATGCCTCTCAGATTCAGGTAGGAGCCCARTTCAGGAGAGTGAGTATTTATTTACCCTTGAGTATTTATTTACCTGCTCACCTCTGAGCCTGCTCACTGCCTGGCATGTTTTCCAGGGATCTGCTTTTTATTGGAGCAGCAGCAGTCAGGACTTGGGAGCAGAGGACTGGAAGGGACTTGTAGGGTCATCAGCAAAGGATTGGGGGATGGATAATGGTTTCAGCTGTAACTGATGGGAGCAGCAAGCTGTTAAACTGCTAATCTTGTCTAGGTCCATCTTGAGTGAGCTCCCGGATCAGGAAACCAACTCAGCACAACCTGGAGGGGTGGCAGAGGTGGGGATATCTGGTGTATTACTGTAGGCATTTATCTAGGGTAGTTGCCTATCTACTGTCTGAGTGAAGGAGATGGACTCACTGGCATTTTACAAGTTGAAAATGCAGCCATTCCCACTTCGGTATAATTTGTACAGAAATACTGTCTTAGATGGAAAACCCCTGGGGACACAGCAGAGAAGACTTGCAGGAAGCTCCTGAAATAGAGAAGCAGAGCCCAAGGGATGCTGCTCTTCCTTAAGATGCTTTTGAAGCTGTGTGTGCTGTAGGGTTGAGCTTTTAGCAGCAGCACAGGTGAGATTTCAGTTGAATAATTGGTTTTGTGTAGAGCCTCTCCAGTATCTGGTTGGTTTCAGCCAGCTGCTTATACATGCTGGGTTACATGAGCCCAGAAAGAATAATGCGAGGGGAGAGCAGTGTTCCACCTATAGCTTGAATGTAAGGCAAGACTGGCTTTTACCAACAACTGCTCTGGACCAGCCTTCGTATTCCTTATTGCCTGTCCAGGGTTAAATTCTGGCTTTTAGTGACCTTTGAGGTTTACCTGCAGGATCCTGCTGTGTCAGAGGAAAGCTGGAACCAGCTGCTGCATTAGTTGAAAAGCAAATATTGCTGAAGCCTTTTTCGTAGGTTTCCAGCTTCCTGTAGGTGCAAACAGTGTAGGTAATAAGCATTAGAGATCAGATTGACTCTGTAAACAAGCGGCTAGCTGCCCTGGAACCAAGTGCAATGGATATTTTCTGCACCTGTTAGGACAGAGCTAGTTCTGTGTTGTGAGGGTGCCAGATAWAAATGTGTTATTTAAGTTGCAACGCTGGTTTTGGCTCAGATTTTTTTTTATATTGCTATTCTGTGTACCCTCAAGATTACTGCTGTAATAAGGAGGGAGAAAGAAGGAAAACTGTGAATGCTGGAGGAAGGCAGTGGCTTCATGTCTGACTTAYCAGGAAGGTTTCTTTCAGTTTCTTGGAATGTGACCTTCAGCTACGTCCATCTCCTAATGTCTGCCTCCTTGCAGGGCTTTTTTGATATCCCTGTTGATAACTTGTATGCTGAGCCTGCTGTACTGAAGTGGATCAAGGAGAATATTCCTGAGTGGAAGAACTGTACCATTGTTTCACCAGATGCTGGTGGAGCTAAGAGGTAAGTTGTCAGGCAACAGGTGGAGATGGATCTTCATCTGCTTTGGTTGTTAACATGGTATAAATGTAGTTGTGATGCCACTATTAAGGTGCATATTCCTGCTCTGCCAGCTTTCTGCCAAGCAGTTAATGGCAGATAGATGAGAATTGTCAAATGTTCTTTTTGGAGAAAGTGTAGAATATTTCTGGAGCTTAAATGGCTTCTGGAATCATTCTACAACTTCTACAACTGCATAGGTGGAATGGAGCAATGTCCACGTCCTTTTCACTAAAGCTATTTTTGGAGAAGCAGAATTATCAGGTTGGTGAGAAGGGGTATCATGTGGTTTGTAACCTTTGCAAAAACAAGGTTAGCCCTGCTGGTTCATGATCACTTTTTATYCAAGCTGTTTGTTATATTAAACAGACTAACAAGGCTTTTTATTGCTTTTACTACTCCTGCTTGAAATGTCATGCTGTAACTTAAGCCCACTGCGAGTTGCTCTTCTCTGTGAGCGAGGAAGTTGGATGGTTCCTTTCTTAGTAGCAACATGTGTAAGCACCTTTCTGTCACACAGGAAATACACTCCTGTCTTTCTGCAGATAAACACACCAGCTTGTGGGCAATTCAGAGGGCTTCCAGGTGTCGCCAGGCAGATCTAGGCTTGCTCTGGAGGGCTCTGTAGTGGCTACAAATGATAAGCTAAGGGAAACAGATGTATTTTGCAAGGCAAGAGACTGGCATGAAAGTGTTGGTGTGTGCTGCATTTCCTTGCAGTTCTTTTCTTAGCCTGCAACTTATGGTGGCTGTAAGGAACAAATTTCCAGCTGGCAGTTTCTCCTGGAAACCACTCRTCTTTCACATAGAGTTCAAAATCTAAAAGTAGCAATGAAATGAGGAAATACACTTGAAGTCACCGAGGCAGCACATTCCCTTATGTGGTCTGGGTGATGTGCCCGTGCAGAACCACAGGTGACTTGGGCTGCAGAACTACAGAACTGTGTTGGTTCCATTCATAACTGAATGGCAGAAAACTAAAGGAAAGTGCTAGAATGTTCCATGCAGCAATAGTGGAGTGGCTTTTCCAGTAAGCAGCTGCATAATGGGGAAGAACTGTATCATTGCTTTGGATTTAGGAGTATACAGTTCATTGCTCCTTTTCGTTTGATCTTTAATCTTGCTCCTCTTGGTAGTTTGAGGATGAAAAATCCAGGGAGTCCAGGGTGGTGGTACCGTTCATGCTGCCAGACTAACTCCTCAATGTCACAGTGTAGCTTAACCTTTCCCTTGTCTCGTTACAAAGATGACAACTTTCCAAGCATTGTGATCACCTGAGGTTTGCTGAGCTTGCTAGGTAAGGTTTGTTTTGAGCTTTAAATRCAAATTAATTTCCACCAGTCAGGATGAAAGGTGCATCTTAATCTAAGAGCAGTCATCAAGAGTAGATTGGAGATTTCTTATTAACTGTTTGAAAGGAAATTACACAAAGGTGGCAAAGAGTATTCTGTGAATTGCTTGGGAGCAGTTAGCGGAAGCAGTGACAGCTTCTCTTGTTGCAGTCTGTTTGTGCTTATGGTTTTGGAAAAGGTTGTTCTTCTAAAGTTGCTCTGTGGAGTTAAGTGTGGTTTGGAAACTGTTCTCTCTTCAGAGTGACCTCCATTGCAGATCGGTTGAACGTAGACTTTGCCCTCATTCACAAGGAGCGCAAGAAGGCCAACGAGGTGGATCGCATGGTGCTGGTGGGTGAYGTGAAGGACAGAGTGGCCATTCTCGTGGATGACATGGCAGACACGTGTGGTACCATCTGCCACGCAGCAGACAAGTGAGTACACTCACCCTTTCCTAAATGAGACCGACCATTAGCAAACGTGATGTACTGAATTAATTGAAAATTCACATGCAAATATTCAAATAACCTRCAGCTTCCTGATTTTTCTGTTTCATACCCCACCAAACAGACCTATTTAGACTTCTTTCTAGTAGAAATAACTAGAATAACATACTTTTTCTCCTTTGAAAAGCTTGTGTTGAAAGCGTGTTTTGGATATTATATATTTGATGGGCGACCTTAGTGATGCTTGATTCTTCACTTAGTGATAGGTAATAGTGAGATTGAGCTGTGCTTTCCACCAGTCCATCACTGGCTTAACCCTGGGTAATGTTAAATGTGGTCTGGTCCAGCCTAACATAACGTTGTGGATCTGAATTTCTATAAGAAGCTTTTCAAGGCAGCCTTCTACCCCAGAGAAGCCAGCATATACAACTCGGGGCGTCAAATACCTGCCACCTCAGGCTGGCGAAGGCACTGAAAGTGGGTTTGTACGATCCAGTCCGAATGCCCAAGGACTAAGAACAATGTTCTTTGAGTCTGTAGCTTGGATTGTATGGTGCTGTTTCCTTCCCTGAAATCAGAGATCATCAGAGGTAGTTTGCACCTTCAGCATGTGGTGTTTTCTCCTTTCCCATTTACCCCTTGTCACCTAAATACTTACTAAGGGTGTTTCTCATCTGTGTCCCTTTTCTCCCCCTCAGGCTTGTGTCAGCTGGAGCCACCAAAGTTTATGCCATCTTAACTCATGGGATCTTTTCCGGGCCAGCAATTTCTCGAATCAACAATGCCTGTTTTGAAGCAGTTGTTGTCACAAACACAATACCCCAGGAGGACAAGATGAAGCATTGCCCTAAAATCCAGGTGAGCCTCTGTTTTCCCGTCTCTCAGCTCCCAGGACTTGTCTCTCYCCCTGTTGCCGAGAATCTGTAAGCCAAGTGCTTAATATGGAGTTGCTAGACACAATTTCACTGATACTGGATTCAGCAGCAGTGCTGACAAGAAGCTCCCTTGTTCCTGTTGCAGGGGATAACAGTTTTACTGGTAAAATGGAACTCCTAATGCAGTGCTATGCCCCCACAGTAGATCGTCTTCCTGCAAAACCCAAAGGCCAGGAAAAGCTGTCTGGAAGGATTTCTACTTTCTGTTCTAGAAATCTGGCTCTTGCCATTCCCGTTCCTCTTGGAAGATCGGAGATGCTGCTGAATCCATAACAGCAGATGCCAAGGAAAAATATTTGAAAGGCTACAACTACTTTAAACACTGGGTTGTCTTGTTCTTTCTCCCAGGCCTGTGTTTAACCCTTTACCTGGAATTCTTTATCCACATGACCCTTCTGAAGACCTTTTGTGAGACAAAACAGGCCTGGTTTGAGAAAAGCAAATGCTGAATGTCTGGTCATAATGCCCATGAAAATAACCTGGAAGGGCAGCATAGTTTCTTTACGTGTCCTGCTGGTTTGAGCAGGTGGCACAGCTCCATAATGCAGTGTTCGGACGCTTGCCAGCACTTTATAAAAAGCTGCTCTCTAAATCAAAGCTGAAAACTGGCCTTTTGACCCTCATTCTTTGTGGTGGTTTTCCATTTGGGGAAATTGGTCAGGCATTTTGTTTCCCATGCTGAGGCTAATTTTCCTAGAGGAAAAAAAATGCCTGTAGAGCTTGAAAAATCTTTAAGTTCTGCCTAATTCTTGTAACAGATGTGGAAATTGTAGCTTTGCCTGGGAGTGCAGTCATAGCAGCTCGCTGAGAAGCTTCAGGTGTTGTGAGTGCAGCAGGTCACCCAGGTTCTGGGGATAAGGAAGCTCAGCTCCTTGAAACCACGCTGGGTTTTAGGCTGGTTTTGGAGGTAAAACATGAGCTGATTACAAAAGGATGCAGGGTTGCATTTCGCAGCTTCTGGATAGTAACTCAGCACATGTAAGGGATGTCAGCTTGCACCTTCTGCAACCTCTGTGCTGCACTTAGCACAGGAAAAGAGTTAAAATGGTAACTGGGACACAAATAGTTGTAGCCAGGGACTGCAGTGAGGTGCTTTAGGCTTTAGTATCTCATGTTCTGTTTTGGGAAATCCAGAGATGAAGGATTTATGAGTCCGGTGCTCTGTTTTTACCTTCCTTAAGGCTTTTTCTTTCTTGGGAGACAAACTACACAGAAGGAAAGAAATGTTAAACAGGAATTTCACTTAATTCACAAAGAGTGAACATGCAGGTTTTTGTCCTGAGACTGCATTAAATATAAATGCTTCAGCTGCTGGGATTCAAAGGTTAAGAGTTTTAATGGGACTTCATATTTTTCTTCTAGTCAACTGGATTACACCACCAGGTGGAGCCAGCCCATTAAGTGCAAACTAAAGCACAATAACTTAATGCTGGTGGCAGTGAATGAAGTCTCATGAATTAAGGCAAGCAGTCTGATCTTGATGTAGGCTTCTTGACTTCTGTGTAACCCGGACAGAGCAAACAAGGTAGTTTTAGTGAAGAATGTACAGTCTTTAGGGAGTGTCAGGAAAGCAGGGTAAGAGTAGGTTGTGATCCTGACAGAGATCAGCAGTGAAATATTTCTTGCAGTGCTGTGCACAGAACTAAATATCAGCAGAAGGGYGTGGAATGATCTTTCTGACCCAGAACTCATGTTTCTGCCTCTAGGATCTTGCAAATTTAGGGTGCTGGGTTTGCTCCTTGAAGTCCCTCCACCGCTTGCCAGCTGTTTTTCCAGGGTTGATACTTTGTCTTGGTGATTCTGATATGTCTTATCTTTCCTCCTCCAGGTGATTGACATCTCAATGATCCTTGCAGAGGCCATCAGGAGGACTCATAATGGGGAATCTGTCTCCTACCTATTCAGCCATGTCCCTTTATAACATCAGATGCCAGCTGCTGCTTGTATGGCTTTTTTTTTTTAAACCAAAAGTTGTTCGGCTTGTTATAAAGTTCAGTAGAAGACTCTGCTTGTTCCAGTGCAGTTCTCCACAGCTGCTCCTGCATAAGTCAGGCTCCCTGACTCTGAGCCCAGCACGGGGAGGTTGGGGGGAGSCTCCTCTCTCTAACACTCCAACCCCACCAGCAGCCTCGTGCSTTGGGGCCCGTCAGGAGCGTTGACTCAACCCTGCAGATCTGTGGAGAGCAGGACTGACCCACGGCCAATTGCCACAACTATTTTTGGAGGRGGGTGGGGGGTAGGGAGAGGGTTTGTGGGCAGGGTTAGATGGCCTGGCATGTGTACCCCCAATTGCTTGGGAAGTAGAGCTCCCTAGGACACGTTGGTCTGGATCTACTGCAAGAGCCCGAGAGACTGCTGACGGTGTCACCACTCTAGGCTTGACAGGAGCCCTCCCAGAGGGACGGGCAGCCCTGCATCTTGGCCAAGCTTAGCCCTAGGGGACACCTCCGGATGGGAGGTGGCTCTGCAACAGCTCCCTCCCGTGAAAGGAGGGCAGTGTGGCTTGCAAACTTAATCTGAATTATTGAAGAAACGCTATGCCCCTTGACATGCTACACAGCAAAAGTAAGGTGAGAGCGTGTAGCCTGTTCAGAACTGCTTTGCTGTGCTACCTTGGTGGGGAAAGGTGCGTCCTGGACAAGCACTCTGCTTCCTGGCGTGTGCGTAGAGGGCTCTAGTTCCTAGCAGAAGCTGAACCAAACGCCTTGTCTTTGCAGTTGCTGTTAGCCTTGCTAGAGACTAGAGAACTGCTGTCATGTGCTGTAGCTGCACCTTGATTTGCTGTGCTAAAGTACCTTGATCCTGTTTTTTACCAGTACATTAGTAAATGAAGCCCCTGGCCCTCAGTAGTACGGTTGTTGTATCCARCAAGTGCCTGCTCCATAGATGGATTGGGGGTGACCCCGTGTGCAACAGCTCTGTGTCCAACTGTCCTTGCTTCAGAAGGCTGTTTGCAATCCTGTTATTCCACCAGCTCCAACACATTCTCGTTGCTTGTCCTGCCTTGCCTTGAACGTGTTGCTCATTCCAATGACAACTTTGCAAGGGAGCTTGAAAATTCCTGGAGGGTCAGAGGTTGCAGGACTGCACAGCCTGAGGAAGCCTCTGCAGTGGATCTGGGGCAGCAAATAAGAGCTTGTGGCAAGAGGTTGAGCAGGCTTTTGTGATACCCAGTACTGGGAAAGCGTAGATCTAACTCCAACCTGACAGGCAGCAAGGTGCCTGGAAGAGAAATACCAAAACTAGAGCTGGCTGAGGCTCCTGGATATGAAATAAGTATCATCCAAAACTTGAATGCTTGATAACTGTACCAGACAATCTCAAGGTAAAACTGTTAAGCCTCTCCTGGACTCTTTTGGGGGTTATAGACCAAGCTGCTTTATGCAGTCTGGTTTCTACAAGCACTCCTCTTTGGTTTGTTTTTGATACAAGGGAAGGGAAAGAGGGTAGAGAAGGAACTCGAAACTGCATGTGAGGGTAGTCAGCACAGCTTGGAGAAGCAGGGGGCTGCGGAGGGTCTGGAAGTGAGAACCTTGGGGCGAGAGCTGGGGAAGTGCTGCCTTAGTTGTGCCTTTCAACGGAGACTTCTCCCCTCTCCCTTCCCGAAACTCCTGTCCCGTGGCAACTCCAACACTTCTATTTTACAGTGTAGAGTTTTCTTTTGTATAAGACTTGGTGTTTGTCTGGAACGTGTGTGTGTGTGTGCGCGTGTGTGTCTGTGCTTCTTTGCTTTGCATCCTGCACTGAGCTCTCCTGGGAGCCCCATTCCTGCCTGCTCCGGGGGAGCCCCTGCTGCTGCACTGCCCATGCCCCGAGAGCCAGGACAGCAGCAGCAGCGTGAGGATTTTCAGCAGCCTTTGTGTTAAACTTAAGACCTTGATGAAGGAATTAAACTTTTATTTAAAAACCACGGCTTCTGTTCATAAATGCTTCCAAAAGTCTACCAAGCATCCTCTAAGCTGGGCCCCTTATAAGGTAGGTCAGAGAGTGATGTGGTTTGGAGGGAGCCTTGGGAGGGTCTAATTCTAAAGCAGATAGTTTGACTTGGTGGTTTAACTTTGCAGTGTTGCCTTTGCATGGAAGAAAATGCCTAGGGACACGCTCTGTTCCTAGGGGCTTTTGTCTGTGATTTCCTGGGCTTAATTCTCTTAGGAGTGGTAGTGCAATTATTCTTGTAATGTCTGAGCTGATCTCTTCAAATAATGTCTGGATAGCAGAAAACACTAATAGTTCAGCAGATTTGAATGAATTATTATCAAGAGTCTTGTACAGGACTAATGATTTGAAGCAGCAGGTCCGTGTCCTGAGAAGTGCTTGTTTCAACTAAACTGATGTCTCTCTGCATGGCTCGTGTTGCTTTTGCATTGCAGTGAGGTGTTTAGACCCCAGATAGAAATRGGGTTACGGGGATGAGGTGGCCTCTTAAGTCTTTTGCCTTATAGTTGGTTCTAGCTTAAGTTCAGCTCCTGTTTGGGGAAAACAGGACCATGGGCTCAGTGGGGACYGTGCAATCTTTAGAATTGTGCCATAAATGCCTCAATTCTGCATCTTTTTCTCTCCAGCAGCTGGAAAGAACTGGGAGGGGGCAGCTTGGTCCTTCTTGGTCATTCCTTAGGGTGAAGCTGCTTGGCAGAGGCTGATGCAGAGGGTGGGAGGGTGTTTCTAGGAGGTGAAGCTGCCCTGCGCCCATGGCCCCTTTCAGAGAGCTGCACTGCTGCTTTCTCTCTAGTTTATCAGTTAAATTCAAACATCTTTATTCCTTCCAGTTCGTTCTTCCAACACCTTTGTGGGGAAAATTGCAACCAGCTGACCACACGTGGATGTTGAAAGGGGATGGTTCATGCAGCTGGGTAGCGTGCAGAGCAGTGCTCCGGGTTCTGGCTGCAGCAGCCCTCCTCGGGCTCGGCACCGCTTCAGCAGCGCCTAAACCCCGCATTGCAAAGGGGCTCCGTGCAATTGCTGCCCCGGCTGCAGTTTGGGCCTGCAGCTCAGCTGCGCTCCCGGCAGCTCCCGTGGGAGCCCCGTGAGCCGCGGGGCTGTTTGTGCCCTCTGGCCTTGCAGGTGGCAGGAGCTGCCGCCGTGTTTGGCAGCGCTGGAGCAGATAGGGCTCCCGCTCGCACAGCCAGGCGTGCGGGTGTGCGAGGGGGCGTGGGGAGGAGGCTGTGTGTGTGTCTGTGTGTGTGTGTCTGTGTGTGTGTCTGTGTGTGTGTGTCTGTGTGTGTGTGTCTGTGTGTGTGCAGGCTGAGGGTGCACATGCGCAGGGGTGTGCGCGTGCTGGGTGTATGCATGGGCTGTGCGTGTGTCTGTGTGTGCATAGCGGGTGTGCCGCTGTGTGTGCGCACAGGGAGGGGCGGCTGTGCACGCTGTGCCTGTAGGGCGCAGGCACCGTGGTGGTGCACACCCGTGTCTATCACACACACACACACACACACGGTTGTGCACAGCCGCACCTCCAACACACACACGCACACGGCTGTGCACACCCGCACCAGCGCGCCCGCACACACGCACTCACACCCGCGCGCGCCCCCCCGCCGCCTGTCGCCGCGGAGCATGTTGGGAGCGGTAGTTCCCCGAAGGTCTACGCCGGCGCTTTGGGCGGATGTTAGAACTACAACTCCCAGCAGGCGCCGCGCGCAGCCAATGGGAGCTCGCGGGCTGGGCGGTGGCCGGGCTATAAAAGGCGCCGCCCCACGCGGCGCGCGCCAGACTCACCTGGGCGAGCGGCGCGAGCGGAGCGGGACGCGGCGGCAGCGAGGTGCGGCCCCGGGGCTCCCCCGTCCCGTAACCCGGCGGGATGGAGCGGCCCGGGGGCTGCTCGGGGCGGGGAGGGGCTGTCCCGCTTGCACGCGGCGTGGGGAGCCCCGGGGTTGGGAGGCGGGGGGGTCCGCGGTGCGCACGGAGGGGCGCGGTGTTGGTGCAAGGCGGTGCGCACGGAGCGCGGGGCGATGCACGCACGAGTGCATGCGGCATGCAGCCCCCCGCCGTGCATGCATGCACCGGGGGGCTCCCGGGAGTGCCCGCCCCGCCCTGCGCTATTGTCCGCGGCGGGGGAGTGGGGTGGGGGGCGCCTTTGTCTGCGCCGCCGCCGCGGCCCCCCCTCAGCCCCCGTCCCCCGTTTTTCCCCAGGCAAGATGTGCGACAAGCCGGACCTCTCGGAGGTGGAGAAATTCGACAAGAAGAAGCTGAAGAAAACCAACACGGAGGAGAAGAACACGCTGCCCTCCAAGGAGAGTGAGTGCCGCCTTCCCCGTCCTCGCGGCTCGGGGACCGCGGAGCCGGCATGTCCCCATCGCAGCCCCCGGCAGGCAGGAGCAGGGCACGGAGTAGCCAGGGTGCTGGCGAGCCCAGCCAGAGCATCCCCTTCCCCTGGGAAACAGCCACGTGAGACTGAGGAATCCAGCCCAGAGCGGCGTTTGGAGCCRGGTTTAGTGTGGAGAGGCAGGGCTGGGGTCCGCAGAGACCCCCTTTGCTCAGGAGGGCTCTGCCACCCCCTGGGGCACTAGGGACCCCTCTGTGTGCAGAGCAGCTGCCCCAAACCTCTGCTGGGGCTTGGCCCCTGTGAGGAGAGTGGGAGGTGGATGCCCATCCCGCTGTCACCCACCTCTCTGTCCCTCATTGCCCACTTCTGGGTTATCTACAAACTGGGGCCAAATTAAACTGGGTGCTGAAGCCTGGTGTTGCTCTGCAGCCTTCTCCCATGGGTTTTTGTCTGCAAAATGTAACCCAAAGACTAATGGAGCTGTCCCCTCTCTTTCAGCTATCGAGCAGGAGAAGCAGTGTGTGAAGTCTTCCTAGAGCAAGATGGCCTGGCAGGAAGAGGCACCACTTTTTTGGGGGGGGGCTTTGAATTAAATCATCTGTTTTTTTAAATTTACATCATGTACGTGTATAGAAAACGGCTGCATYTAACCCACTGTCCCACCGTGCTGGCCGCTTCGGCAGGCGAAGGGCAACAAAACGCGGTCCCCTCCGGATCCATCGATGGCCTGACCCGAGCCAGCCCCGTCCTTGCTGCCCAGAGGTCCCCGATTTCGGCACTGATTTCACTCGAGTGCCGTGGGGAGCTGAGCGTGGGCTGTGGAGCTCCAAGGGATGGACCCCCCCCGGCATGGGGGAGTGGGGATCCTTTCTGATCTGGCCTGTGGCCTGGGTCTGTCTCGCATCACTCTTCACTCATGGTGTCCTGTAGCCTCACTCACGAGTTTTGTCTTCCTTGGGGGAAAAATGAGAAGTTTATTATAAAATAATAATAAAAAAAAATCTAATGACATCAGGAAGGCTTGTGGTTTATTGCTGGGGGAGGTGTGGGCTGGCAGCCKGGCTTGCCCAGCCGGGTGGGAAGGTCCCTTGGAACTGTGGTGGTTCCCTGCTTGGTGGGACCCGGCTCTGGCTGAGCTGGGGGTGGCACTGGGGAGCTCCTGTGCTCAGGGTGGGAATGGTCTGGTTGGGATTTAAGTCTTGGGAGGAAGGAGGTGGCCCTGGGGATGCCCATCGTGGCACTGGGTGCAGCCTGCAGGAGAGGCCACCACTACCCTGTGCTTGGCGGTCCAGTTGCTGCAGGGTCCTTGATGTCCCTCCTTCCAGGAGCAGAGCGGTGTCTGTTTCTAACACCTCGTGTGTGGACCAGATGTGTCCGGATGCATCTGGATACTGGATGTGCCTGGAGCTTGGCTGCCAACCAGCTCCTGCTGRTGTTCCCGGTACAACCATCTCTTCTCCCACAGCCACCCTCCGCCCTTGGCTTTTCCAGACCTGCAGGGCTCTGTTTATCACCTTGATCCTTTGGAATCTCCTTTGTGGGAGAGCTGGGCCATCAGCACCGTGCAGAGGTGCCGATGACGCTGCCTGGACCCAGTGCACCAGAGCACCCTGCGCCCATGGGTGTCAGCACCGCATGCAGGTATCCACGCCTGTCCCAGCCGTTCCTGCCACGTCGACACTGGAAAAATTCAGGGACGCAGGGAGGAATTCCTAGCTTCTCCAGGTGCCGAGCAGGCAAACACACCCGCGGAGCAGGCTTATCACCTGAGCCAGGGCGATAAGGGAAAGACGCTGCCACCGGCCTTCCCAGTGTGGCAAACTGGGAACGCTCTGGGGATCTTGGAGGATCTTCAGGGAAAAGTGGCAGTGGGAAACGCCAGCAGGGAGGCCCCAGGATGCATGGGCTCCGGCAGCCCCAGCGCCTTCCCCGGGATGCGGGAGTGACGGCTATTCCCAACGGGATGCCCGGGAGGCCGGATAACCCGGAGCTCGCGCGTGCGGCGTGTGCAAGAAGGGCTTAGTCTGGGCGATGCCGGGATCAGCCCGTGTCGGATTCCCTCCCGTTGCTCCCTCCCCACATCTCCTGGCGGCCTCTTTGCAGCTCGCAGCCCGTTCCAAAAACACTCCGGAGCCGCTCGCCACATGCCAGAGATTCCTTAGGGATGGGGAAACCCGCTGGAAATCCCACAGCAAATTCCCATGCCGAGGTGTGAGCAGCAGGTGCCCGCGCCGGCGGAGCCGGCACTTGCGCYGGGCCGGGAGCAGCTGCCATCCAAGGGGGACCGGGTATTTTTGGGAGCAGCTGCCTGACACAGGGGACATTGTCCCTGGCCCGCGGCTGCCCCAGGACTTGGTAACCAGGGATTAGGGCATGAAAAGCGGTTTTGTTGCTTCGCTCCCAGCGCCGTTTCCCTCCTCCTGCAGCTGCGGCCCGGCGCCCGCCTGCTCCAGGGAAAAGCCCATGGGGCAAAGGGCTCCCAAGGCCTCTCCGGGCGCCTTTCCCGGAGTGAAAATCCCTGTTTGCACCCGCTGAGCCCAGAGGCGATTAGGGATGGGGAAGGAGCAGGGGCTGCCGGCGGCGCCGGGATGCAGCCTGCGCTTCCCGCTGCTCCTCCCCGGCGCCCGCGGCCCGGGCGGCTCGGCTGTTGTCCAGGTGTTTGACTAGGGTGTTGCCCGGGTGTTGTCCGGGTGTTGCTCAGTCTCTGGGTGATAACGGGCCCAGACAGGGCCAGGAGGGYGGCGCGGGCCCAGCGCGCCCGGGGCAGCTCGGCGGCTTTTTGCCCTCGCCCAAAAGCAGCTCATTTTGCTTTAAAAATAACAGATTTAAGCATGATAATAGAAAGAGGTGCACTCAGTGATTCACYCCCTGCTGAGGTGGCTTCCCACCTGGAAAAGTGGGAAAAATCCCTCATTGGGGCTCCTCACACGGAGAGGGCCACCGCAAGGGCAAGGAGGGCTGCCACGAGGGCAAGGAGGGCCACCATGAAGCGCGTCCACCACAAGAAGGGCCACCACAAGCGCCACCATGAGGAGGGCCACCACAGGGGCAAGGAGGGCCACCAAGGGGACCACGAGATTGAAGGCCATCAAGGGTGAGGACCACCAGGACAAGGCCACCATGAGCAGGGCCAGCACAAGAAGGGCCACCACAAGGGCCACCATGAGGAAGGCCACCACAAGGAGGGCCACCCCAAGGAGGGCCACCATGAGGGATAAGGA